AATAATAATAATAATAATAATAATAATAATAATAATAATAATAATAATAATAATAATAATAATAATAATAATAATAATAATAATAAAAACGTTTTATTGAAAAAGTTCTGCAGCCCAAAACCTGAAAATATATATTGAAATGACTTATTACATACATTGACATGAGGGAGGGGGTTAATAAAAGCCTTCATTAGAGACAGGAAAAGGAACATACTGTGAACATACAAATTAATGTTTACAATGTAGGTCATGTGCGCTGAGGTGTTGAATACAAACACAATAGTAACTCACAGATGGTATTATGAGACGCCAGATATGGTGTAGTACTTCAGTGTGTGTGTGTGTGTGACTATCCTTTGGTGTAGTACTTCAGTGTGTGTGTGTGTGACTATCCTTGGTGTAGTACTTCAGTGTGTGTGTGTGTGACTATCCTTGGTGCAGTACTTCAGTGTGTGTGTGTGTGTGACTATCCTTGTGTAGTACTTCAGTGTGTGTGTGTGTGACTATCCTTGGTGTAGTACTTCAGTGTGTGTGTGTGTGTGACTATCCCTTGGTGTAGTACTTCAGTGTGTGTGTGTGTGACTATCCTTGGTGTAGTACTTCAGTGTGTGTGTGTGACTATCCTTGGTGTAGTACTTGGTGTGTGTGTGTGACTATCTTGGTGTAGTACTTCAGTGTGTGTGTGTGTGACTATCCTTGGTAGTACTCAGTGTGTGTGTGTGACTATCCTTGGTAGTACTCAGTGTGTGTGTGTGTGACTATCCTTTGGGTAGTACTTCAGTGTGTGTGTGTGTGACTATCCTTTGGTGCAGTCATTCAGTGTGTGTGTGTGTGACTATCTTGGTGTAGTACTTCAGTGTGTGTGTGTGTGTGTGACTATCCTGCAGTCATTCAGTGTGTGTGTGTGTGACTATCCTTGGTGTGTAGTACTCAGTGTGTGTGTGTGTGTGACTATCCTTGGTGCAGTCATTCAGTGTGTGTGTGTGACTATCCTTTGGTGTACTCAGTGTGTGTGTGTGTGACTATCCTTTGGTGTAGTACTTCAGTGTGTGTGTGTGTGACTATCCTTCGTCCATGTGAATATAAAACAAATAAATAATGATAGAAGTCACATAAAATTTAGCCTCTGTTTACGTCAACATTCCTGCTTGTGATATTGACTTCGTTTACACCTCCCCTCATCGCCACACCCTCCACTTCCGCCACTTGCATCACCTGAACATTAGACACCACAGCTTATTCTACCTTAAGATTAGACCCCCTAATTTATTTCACCTGCCTAGCAACCTAACTCAACCTAACCCTCAAGTAGCATTAGGGTGAAATAAACTAGGATGTCTAATCTTCAGGTGTTCCCGATATTCTAATGACAAAGGCGACAGTACTACTTAAGTGTGCATAATTCTGACATAAATAAGCATCTGATATCTTTGTCGACTGCCCTTGATCAAATCACTTTACTGTTTATTATTGTTGTATACCTGCACTCAGTATATTACATTGGAAACAGTATACATGCACGGTCTATGTACAATATACATCATATACCTGCATTGTCTACATACACATACTGTACCTGCATAGTCTATATACTGTACATACCAAACTCATCGTAAACCTGTAAAATGATTTGACTATTATTATTATTATTATTATTATTATTGTTTTTATTATTATTATTATTTTATTATTATTATTATTTTATTATTATTATTTTATTATTATTATTATTATTATTATTATTATTATTATTATTATTATTATTATTATTATTTATTATTATTATTATTATTATTATTATTATTATTATTATTATTATTATTATTATTATTATTATTATTATTATTATTATTTATTATTATTATTATTATTATTATTATTATTATTATTATTATTATTATTATTATTATTATTATTATTATTATTATTGTTATTATTATTATTATTATTATTATTATTATTATTATTATTATTATTATTGTTATTATTATTATTTATTATTATTATTATTATTATTATTATTATTATTATTATTATTATTATTGTTATTATTATTATTATTATTATTATATTATTATTATTATTATTATTGTTATTATTATTATTATTATTATTATTATTATTATTATTATTATTATTATTATTATTATTATTATTATTATTATTATTATTATTATTATTATTATTATTATTATTGTTGTTATTATTTTATTATTATTATTATTATTATTATTATTATTATTATTATTATTATTATTATTATTATTATTATTATTATTATTATTATCATCAGTTTAAGCGTGATAGTTGAGAGAAGCTAAGCGTCTGTTTTAGTCAAGTTAATCTTTTGTTGCAAAGTGGAACTGAAAACCTACGGAAACGATTCTCTCTTTTATAGGTACTTTAATGGGCAATGTTCGGTGGATTTGGCATCTTGTGTACTTCCGGCAAGGCCGTGAATGCTCGTAACACTCATCTTGCCCGCGGTGTCCACCATTTCTCTGTGGATGTCGGCCACACTAGATTCTAGAATAACCCGTTAGAGTACATCCTTCTTTCCTCACACAGGCAAACTGTGGAATGCTTTGCCTATAAAAGAGGTACAGTACGTCTACTTTGAAATGAAGGAGATGAACAATGGTTGAGAATCAACAGTGTTTTGTTCCATCATATGAACCACTGATTTAGAAGCAGAGGGCCAAGGGAAGGCAGAGACGGGGATGGATGAATGAAATTAAAAAGTGGGTCACCCAGAGAGATACAAAACCTTAGAGGTTTGGTAAAAACAGCCCGACAACGTTTAGAGTGGAGGACTGTGGTCGCCAACCCTCAGATATGAGGATACCTCTAATTGAGTGATTGGATATCCTTGCACTAAACGTTGTACAGAAGTGGTCGACATAAGCAACAAACACTGTACAGAATATGTTGGTATAAGCGAAAAATACTAATACCTGTAGAAGAAACAATACTGTATTTGTGTGGGACAAAGTCAACATTATATTTGTGTATAATATTGGTTGTATTACCAGAGATGTTCGTACAGTGTTTGTTGCTTATACTGACCAATTTTTGTGTAGTGAGTCCTTATACCGACCACTTCTGTACAGTGTTTGCTGCTTATACCGACCACTTCTGTACAGTGTTTGCTGCTTATACCGACCACTTCTATAAAAACCAAGACAGAGAGCCGAATATTGTTGTCCATTTGTTCTTCCTCAAGAAAACTGAAAATCCAACCTCTATTATTGAACGGTTGAAGTCCTGTTTCTATTATAGTAAGTCCACGGTATCCTTATATTAAGTTGAATTTATTCGCATTATCCGTTCTGTTATTAACTTGGTAGTTCAGCTTCTCCTTGGCCTTGATTAGTATGCCATTAAACGTGTGCTTGTTTTATACTTGCATATTGAAACTTTAATACATATGTGTGTTTCGTTTCGGCCGTAATGACCCAGGCGTTGACGGTCAGCAAATAAAAGAAATAAAAGGTATTTCGTTTGTATGTCCATTTTTGTTTCTTTTTCTACAGATTGAGTTAATGATGGTAACTGAGATAAGCAAAACGTTAGCGAATAATGACTGTATCAAGGTGTTTTTTTGGTCCCAGCCTTGATGTTAAGAAGATAACTTGATTTAAATTATTGTTTTACCATTAGGGAAATATTCAAACACTTTTTGTAAAGAATACCTCTCCGAAGAGCCTAGGAGAATGGTATCGTAGAAGAACACTTATGGATATTTTGTATGTGGCATCTAATGTATGGTAATTCAGCTTATTTTCCAGGCCGACTGAGTTTTCTCTATGATGAATGAAAAGAATCAGAACACCTGCAGTCTAAGTGAATCTTCCACATAATAGTGTGGCGTGGACACACACAGGCCCCTTTCAGTAGGCGTACACGTTCACATTCCCTGAAGTTGAGTAAAAATAAATTAAAAATAGGAAAAGAAAAAGACCATATTAATCTACACCACGAAGAAGCCGGAAAACCATCTTTTTAAGGCGAGACATTGTATGAGTATGGAAACAGAAGGAGGCAGAGCATTCCACAGTTTGGCTGAGTGAGGAAAGAAGGATGTAGCCTACTATAACGGGTTAGTCTAATGTGACTGACATCCACAGAGAAACTGTGGGCACCGCGGGCAAGATGAGTGTTACGAGCCCACGGCCTTGCCGGCGGTGCACAGGATGCCAAATCCACCGGACATTGCCCGTTAAAGTACCTGTAAAAGGTAGAGAGTGAAGCGTAATTGCGGCGAAGAGAAAGGGAAAAAAAGATTATCAACTAAAGTAGGAGAGTCAATAAGACAAAATGGCTTTGATTCCACCCTATCTAACAGTTAGACAAAAGAAGAGCCACCCCAGATATGAGAGCAGTACTCCAAGTTAGGACGAATGAATCCCTTATAATCTTGAAGCAATTGTTCAGGAGTGAAGTACTGTACATTAATAATGACGGTATCTATTTATTGGTAAAGTGATTTAAAAACTAGTCGTTATGTATAGATTCTTCTGTAGGGTATTTATGCTATCACCAAGATTACTACAGTGCTGTATATCAAATATGTTTTGGGTGCTACTATAGCGTGCGGTCTACACACTACAAGATTAATTAGGTTAATTAGATCAGGATAGGTAAGGTTAGGTTAGGTAGACTTAAAGATATCTTTGTAGACCGCACGCCATAGTAGCACCTCAATTATTTTTGTCGTAATTATATCAGATTGTAGAGCTATGACAAGTCAGTCACCGATGCTTAACATTAATTGTCGGCTGTTTCTTTGAGATAGGTTAGTTCACTTGGCTGAATATTTATACTATAAATTATTATTCTATAAAATATACACACTAAATATTTTTAAAGAACTTTTGAAAGAGAAAGTAACGGTTGTATTGATTTTCGTAATATTTGTAGAGCCCGCTAGAGGAGGTGGGGAGGACCGGCCAATGAGCACCTCCCGTCTCCTGACAAAGGTCCTCTCTGGCAAAGATTTACATTTGCTTAATTCATTTATTCCTTTGCCACCACACTGTCTTATTGAATTGAAAATGTTTAAAAAATGGATTAGAGTATGTTATAATAGTTGATATGGGAGAAGTGTAAGTATTTATGGAGAATTAAGGCAAAGTTTGTTTGTGAGGCACCTCAGAGAAAGGACCAATCAGGAGCGAGAAGCTGGCGGCATCAGTCGGGAGAGGAGCGCAGTCAACGCCAACTGCAGCGGGAATTACAATGTTCCCTCATATATCGTGATATTAATGTAAGTAAACCATTTTAGCAACACTTGTTCATCATGGCTCATCGTTGGTATTTGTAGCATTAGATGTTACTACTTTCGACCTACAATTATTGACCGACGTGTAGATGTAAGCGATGAAACAGTAGGATGACGCGCAGCTTGGAGAGGCTAAGCGACGCCATCTTGGGAGCTGCTGAAGCTTTCTGGTAGGAGGATGAAGCAGGAAGTGGTTCATGGTCAGCATTGTCCTTGGCTAGTGACCGTGTGGTTAACAGCATTTAAATGTTGCCAAGAAGATGCATCCAATATGATACTGGAATCATTGGCACTTGAAGCTTGTTAGTGGTTCCGGTAGACTAACCCTAACCAGGGCGACAGTGTTGGGGCGGACTATTATCACCAGTTATGGTGTCCGGGGAGGAGTATTAGTTAGGTTGGGTTAAGGTCACCATTATAATCGATGGATCAACACAGAGATTCCACTGAAGGTATTGAGAAGACAGACGAGTCGCTCCCTGGTGGTTGATAAGGGAGCCATTTATTATCTCCGTCACCCCAGCCTGTGTGGCCCTGCAGGAATACGTCTTACCTTCATGCACAGACAGGATCCTCAGCTTCACAGTGAGCTCAAGCTTATTGTTTTATTTTTTACATAAAATGTGACAAATATTTTTTGATAATTAATTAATGATATGCTAGTTGGTACAGTAATACATGCTGTTGCCAACCTGTATGTTCTAGTGGTAAGTTGTGTTGCTATGCCTTGGTAATGTGTAGTTGACAGTTGTAGGTTCATGGTGGTGAAGGTTTGGTTAGGACAGTTTATTAAGTTAGTGGGAGTATAGTACAGTACAATGTCTCTGACATGAACAGTAATTTTTTTTTTTTGGTGGGGGGACTACTGATAACTGTACTGTATATGAATGTATGGAATATAGACCATAAATGAGAGCTTTAAAAAATGTACGGTAATTATCGATAATATTTTAGATTTTCATTTTAAGGACAACAGGTTATTGTTGGTTGATGCAAGGTGTTTGGGGGCCATTGCTGAGAGGAGGGGATATGAACCACCTGAGTCATAATGATCCGTGGTTAGCAGTCAGCGTAATAGTCTGGTATGGCTTGTTGAATTTAATGATTTTTCTTGGGAATTAAAAAAAAAAAAATAAATCTCCCAAATCTGTTAATGTAAGGACAAAGAGTTAATGAAGACGACGATTAGTACTTGTTATGCCGGGTGCAGCAGCTATAGCACCAGTTAGGTTTGGTTGGTTTAAGTCTTACAGTCAGAGTCTCCAAGGCTTAAGAAGGAAAGTGTTGCTTTAGTACTACAATATATTGAAAAATGAAAGCATTGTATGCACAGTCTCTGATCCAGTGAAAATAAAAAGTTAACAAAATAAAATAACTCTGGTCAATTGGATTATACACAGTTAAGCCTTTTGAGAACGAGTGCACGTGAAAAGATGGTTAACTCACAGTAAAACAGTTCAAAGAGCATTATGATGATAATGATGTTATACTTGTTATATTTTTTGTAAGTCAGGGTTACATCACTTCTAGTTAGCACAATTAACTGGCTGACAATAAGGTAAAACATTATTGTTTCAGTCATTGTTTCATATGAATGTGAAACTGATGACTTCAGGTTCAGTATTAAACAACAACAATTGTCAGGCACTCCGCAAAATCTTTTGTTGAATACCTGTGCTGTGCAGTACAACATGTGGTTAGGGGTATTGTACAAGTGATAATGAGAACAACATTAAGTTAGGTATACTGTAATTATAACGTGGCTTCATTGGTGATATGGACTGGACAGCTCATCTGTGTGCAATATATGAGGGCTGTATTAGTGAAACACAAGCTCTTGTCTAACATATTTCTCAGAATTATCTGATGTCAGCCAGGCACTCACCAGCCACCATACTCCTTATAACCATCTTTTTAATATCCAAACTGATGTTTTTGTTGCCTGTCCACATTACCACATTGACCAAAACAGTGAAGGCTAAGAACAAAGCTTTTACTATTTATTCTCTTAAATATAGTGGACAGTATAGCTAGCTGTTTTGAAGCTTCATGTTATAACCTCACCATTTAGTTCTTTCAATTATAAATGAATTGAGCACATTTTGTATAAATTGACAATCTGCAGATGGGAGGGAGTTTACTGTACATTATTCTTATCTCTGTGAATACATCCCAGTATTTTTTATAGTTCTAGCTTGCATATTGATCTTAAAACTCAGTAATTAATTTGATGCTTCTTTTGTTTCCAGGTGTGGCAAGATGGCAGAGGAGCTTCTCTCCTTAAAGTGGAATAACCACCAGGCACACTTTGTGGACATCCTCACTTTCCTGCGGGAACAGGTAACCTGTCTTATACTTAAACATGTACAGTACTTGTTTTGTGGGAAAAGAAGCATAATGGCAAAGGAGTGGTGAGTTGGGACAGGTAAAGGGTGAAGTGAGGAATGTCTGAGAGTAGAAATGAATGGTGGTGGTGTGTGACAGGGTGTATGGCTCTCAGTTTCAGAATACTATGGATTATATCAAAAGTAGTACAGTAGTTGATTATGAAGTACAGTACTCATACACCAGGGAATAAGAGTGAGGACAAAGAGAGAGAGAGGTTCTTGAAAGACCTGAATTACTCATTTGAAAGGTTTAGTGTGAGGAATATTCATGAGAGGTTTAACTGAGAGTTGATGATTGGGTTGTGGAGGTGAGTGAGGCATTAATGGTAATTGAGAGAGTTGGTACAGTAGAGGAATTCATAGTAGAACAAAGTTATAAAACTGAGAAAGTTAGGGAAATAAATTATTACATAAAGGTTGGTACAGGTGAAGGGACAGTGGGAGAGAGGTTGAAGAATGGGAGTGTACAGGATTCATAAAAAAAGTGTAGCTGAGGTATGTAGGTGAAAGAAAATAGGAAGGAAAAACAAGACAGGAATTGGAATGAGAGGTTGGGAGTGTTGAGTGAGAGGAGTACATTACATGGTGTGGATGGCAGGAGGAACAGAGAGATGGAAAGATGCTCTAGAAGTGAGGGGGCTAAAGATAACTGTTGGGACCAGCAATGACCTCGACTGATGGGGAAGGATGATGGATGGTGCTAGGGTAATGTTACTTCATCTGTTTCCTAACTTAAGGCACAGTGTTGTCACTTGTGAGCCAAATGATGATATTTTTCAGATTTACCCAACACCATGGGTACATCATCTGCTGTGACACTAACATCAGTTTGTTTAGTCCTAAACATAATTTAACCCATTAGTTTGAATTTAAATTGTTAGTTACACTGCTTGTCTATATTAGAAATTCAATAGTTAAACCCCTTGAATAATGAGAAAAATAATAAGAGTACAGTAGACATTTTTTAGAGGATGTTTACTGAGCAAGCCACACAGATCCATCACTTTCTCTGATCATGAGTTAGTGTAGCCCACAGATCCTTTTCACTCATTATTGTGTTCTGGTTCCAAGTTAATAAGGTTATCTGAGTGCACACACACACACTTATTTATAATGCAGTGCTCGTTTCATGGACAATTGTTGCCACATGGGCTCCAAATTTGTGGAAGGTGTGTGAGGATTGAATTTAAGATTTAAGCTAATGAAGAGCCAGGTATTTGTAAATCAAGCTTGGGATTGTCTTATTGGCCACCTGTGGGTGCTGTTAATGCTTTTGTGCCTCACCTTGCACAGGTTGCAAGGGGGATGGCCAGTAAAGTAGCCTCCTCGTGGGACAAATCTGAAAAACATAGTGTGTCAACTGGACTTGAGCTCTGGTACCAAAGTAAATGTGTATCCTCATGTATTACCTAATTTGAAAGTACAGTATTATACATGAGTCACCCAATTTACTGCTTGAGTTAGATATGAGATATTTGTCCCTAGCCCATTTTATGAGTAAACATGGGTTTGGTGGCCCCATTTTTAATCTCTCATAGGTTGCTGTGGTGAGCTGCAACTGAGGATGATTATTTGGTCTGTAACCTGTTAATGGGATGTCAGTGTGACAGGCAAGGATCTTGGCTCTCAACCTAACTGGCAGTATTCTGTGGAATTCTGGAATATTTTATCAGTCCTATAAGGCAGGTGGGGGAGGGGTTCCTGGGAATCCTGTGGTGTCAACCTTTAGGCTCTTGTGCAGTACTGTATAGTACTTAAGTTGCCTCATTTATGTTTTTCAGAACTTTTCATTGCCATTGACACGTACCAGTGATATCGTTTGATGTGTCATTACCTTGTGACCTTCATATACTGTACAGTATAGGGGCAGACCTGTGTCACCTTCATTGATATGTGTGAATGGCCTTGTTTGACCTTTATAGGTTATGAACAACAACAATGCTCAGATGAGTGTTTGCTTCTTGGAAGTACAGTATTGATGTGGTTGGATTGCCTAATGTTTTAAGTAACCTTTGGACCAAAAATAGTGACCAGGGCCAGCTGTGGTTGGGTGTTCCCTTTACTCCACCAGATGCATAATATAAATCATTCTGAATTTAGTGAGACTGAATTTGGCCTGAGTATTGTATACAGTTGGCCAGATTAGCCATGTTGAGTCAAGTAGCTGTAGATAGAGGGAGTGATGGTAAGTCTTTATGGAAGAAACTGAAGATAAGAATATGGAATTAAATAAGGTACTGTGCTGTACTGTAATTCGATGTGTTGATCATGTGTAAGTAGGATGGTTCACCCATATACTGTACTGTACTGTAAAAAATAAGATTTGAATAGAACCTGCTACACAAGGCCTCTGTGTTCCTCTGCCAGAAATTAGACGCATCGGAACATTTTAATGTCTTGCAAAAAAAAAAGGACTTGCGATTATGATTGTTTTTCTATGAAGAACATAAAAGTCGTCCACTTTATGCATGACATCTAGATGTTTTCTATTTGGAATATTATTATTTTAATATAAACTCATACCTGTAATAGGAATAAGGTTGACCTTATGGAGAAGACTAAATTGAACTTTTATTTGTTTTTTGACCACTTAATGTTTGCCGGGAATATTATGAAATGTAGTTTTTTGGACACTAGTTTGGATAACCTGAAGATCTCTACCAGCTTATTTCAACTTCCCCAGTTAGAATTAGGATGGTTAATCTTCAGGTGAAATAAGCTGAGGGGCAAATCTTCAAGTGATATGATAAGTTTTTATGCTAGTGGAATAAATAAATGTAAGGAGATAGGGTGAGATATTAGAACATTAGTATTGAATGTTTACTGTAATTTTAATTAATGTTTTCTCTGTTGCAGGAAATATTTGTGGATGCCACATTGGCCTGTGGTGGGAAGCTTTATGCAGCACATAAATTTGTTCTCAGTACCTGTAGTGACTATTTCAAGCAGATGTTTACAAAAAATCCTAGTAAACATCCTATAGTGTTTATGAAAGATGTGACATCACGTGATCTAGAAGCACTCTTGGACTTCATGTATAATGGTGAAGTGAATGTTCCTCAGTCTAGTCTAGGATCTTTAATTAAAACAGCAGAAGGACTACAGATAAAAGGTTTAGCAGTGCCTGATGATCCACCTGCTCCTAAAAGAGAACGAGATAGAGAACGAGATAAAAGAGAAAGCAAAACACATTTGGAACACCTTAGTCCCCCTGCCAAAAGACCAAGACCAAGAGAAAGATCTCCTCCTCATTCATCTCCATCCCAACCTACAGTTTCACACCCATTATCTTCACACACCTCAACCACACCTTCAGTGTCCAGATCTCGATCCCCATTACCCCCAGTCCCCTCCGTTGGTGCTTCTCAAGTTGCTATGCCCCCAGTGGAAGCTACTTTAGATGAAGACAGTAGAACAAGTATTCAAAGTGGTATCAGTGGACTCAGTGAACAAAATTCAAGCACAACACCTAGTCTAAGTTCCAAACAAGGCAGCAGTCAACCTCAAATGAACACTGGTGAGGTCACCTCTCATACAGACCAGTTACCACACAGTCATACTGGAGAAGAACCCTCCCCTGGACCCTCGGGGCTCCATAAACCGCAGTCAAAAGAAGAACCAGAATTTGTGAGTTTCTTGTGTTACACTTAACCTGCAGTGAAATATTGACCATAGTGCAGTGTTGAATCTTAGCATAAAATGTGATTCTTAAGTTGCACCAATTTTTTTTTCACCTGTGATGTGATGTTTCTCCTTCAGGAAATTAAACAAGAAGATGTGGTAGACCTAGGTGAAGATGATGAAGGGGATTGGGGTGTAGAAGGGGATGGGGGAGGGGGTGACTCCTCTGTTGGGTCAGAAAACCCCCCCAATTTCCCTGAAGTCATGTTACCCCACACAGATGGCTCCATGCCCCCCACTGGAGACCCAGCAATGGTGAGTGTTCCATTTGAAGTATTTCTTATTTAAGTGTGCTAACAGGAAGCAAACTAGTACTTTACTTTACAGTGGGTTAACAGTTAGGTTACATTGTAAATTTATTTTTGTTTCTGTGTGAATATTGTTATAATGTTTTATGATGGCATTTGTGTGTGTGTGTGGCAGTATTTGGGATGATATTACTGTATACCTCAGATGTAATTAACAAGCATGCTGTACCTGTATAATGTGTTGATGAGAATGGTGAGGATATGTAAAGGAGAAAATAGCTGCTGTACTGTATAATCTGAAGGAGCACTACTTTGTGAACGAGTTACAGTATGTGAAGTAAGGATAGTTGAACAGTCTACAAAGAGCTTATATGTTTAATAAAAGGGAAATTATATAATGCTTTTAAAGAGTAGACATTGTACTGAGTCAAATTATGTTTAATATGACAGGAAACTAAAAAAAACAGTCAGGAGTGGCAGGTGATAGGGATTTACATATTACAGTACTGTACACTACAATCCTACCCTCTTGAATGTATGCAAGTGAAGTGAAGGCTTGTTAGAGGTCATTGATGGCTGGCAGTACAGATGGGCCAGTTAATGGATTTTAAGTTAGAGTGAATGAATTTATGAGGAAGTTAGAGGAAATGTAAAAGAAATATCCCCCTCCCTTCATCCCCCATACTGTACACGAACACTTGTATTCAAACCCATCACCTTTCCTTGAATACATTCATGAACCTCATCTCCCCTTCCTTCATACTCTCCCACCACACACACCTACCACTCACTCATTTACACACACACACACATTCTCACAGTAGGCTCTTGTGAAAATATTTTTTCTTTTTTAGATTTAGTGGCTTGTATGTGTGTACAGTACATGTTCAGTATATGATAATTGGTTAGTAGAACCAAAATCAGCCAAAAACTCTACATGTGTTTTGTGAGTTGAATGAAATAAATATTAGTGTACTTGTTGCACATGTTCATCTCTACATCAGATATCCATCACATATTGACTGTTAATGGGGGAGGGTGTAGAGGGACCTCTCCATCTGTTCATACAAAGTGTTACATTTAGTAACCTTAGAGGAATTGGTATTTAATTTAATATAGAGTTTTATCACGACTACTGTCCTGTATGTATGCCAAGTTTGATGATCAGTATTTTTCATCTTCATTAACCATATTTAATGTGTGTTGAAACTGGAAAGTTTGGCCGAGGCTCACATTACCCTCGGTGATTATCTCGTTCATAGGCACGAGTAAGCTATCTCGGGTACTTGAGAAACCATGAAGGTGATGTGTTCCTCTAACTGTGCTTAGGCTGTTCAGTACAGGGATGGTTAATGTTGAGTATCAAACTTGAGTTGGTTATTCATATTTTGAAGCTGCAGAACGAATTTAATTTTGATTCAGAAAGTCTTTCTCAAACATCGGAGAAAAGTTTGTCTGGATGGAGGTAGAGGTGTATGATCCAAGTGTATGGATACAGGGATTAACAGTATAGCAGAAATGTGTGTGTATGAAGTGTGATGTGAAGATGTACAAATATCCACATATTCCATAGACAATTTCCTTTATCATTTAAGAAGAATCTGCTGCATCAGGCATAATCCACTTAGCATGCTGGCCTGGCCCCCCCCCCCCCACACACACACACACACACACTTTTGTCCTTTCTACACTCACATACTGTATGTGTGCCTATTCCTTTCCTCCTCCCACACACTTACTTGGTTACTCATCTCCCATCCACACACTTGTCCCTCACCTCCACACCTTCTCACTCAGACACCCCCCACCCACAATGTACAATATAAAGTAGCATACAAAGTGTGGAATCACATTTCCATATAAAATGCCTCGGAATGTTAACACAATATCTACACCCAGAGACATGTGAAGGTAGACAATGCAGATCAAGTACTGTACTGTACAGTACAGTAATTAGAATATCAAGTTTAACATTATGTTGTGGGTTTGTACAGTCATGAGTCTCAACTTAGGCTACGTATATATTTGCTTCCTTTTAGTACATAATGATTTCTCCTCTGTGAATCCTTGTGACTCTTGTCTTGAAACTTAATTTTGTGATTATATATATATATATATATATATATATATATATATATATATATATATATATATATATATATATATATATATATATATATATATATATATATATATATATATATTTCTGGTATGTATATATTTGTATGTTTTGATTTATATATGCTAGTGATTTTCCTACCTTATCTGTGTACTGCTGGGTGAGGCTCCACTCACTGTTGGGAGGACTCTTGATATTGGCTTGGTAACCCAGTCAGAGTTGCCAGGGACCTGTAGTCACCCACTGAGTAACAGAGGCCCAACATCACAACACATAAAGACTACCGTACTGTACTGATCAAATTATGGACGCGGCAGTCAATGGTTTGCTTTTTATACTATAGGTACAGTGCTACCGTATACGGTATATAACGCTGCCTATAGAGCTGAACCTCCCTATATAGTAGAGTACAGTGATACAGATCAGGGAGGAGATCCATACAGTTTATAGAAGAATAATGAGCCAAGAATTTGCCACCTGCTCTGTGTGGAGGAAAACCTTTAGTTAACAATAATATTAAAACATTGCCCATCCTATCCAGTCATTTATTTAGAATATTTTTATAGTTTCTTGAGATACGTATTCTCTTAAGTGCACAAGGAACTGACTGTACTATTATTTTTACTGTACAGGGCAGAATTGTAATAATATTTTGCACACAGTTTTGACCAGTTATAAGTTACTAATGTGAAGTGAGGACTACAGATGTGACTAAAGTTGGTGAATTTTAAGTTCAGAACAATTTATATATATATACACTGGAGAGGTCTAACACTTGGATCCCCAGAAACTTGACCAAAACTAATGCAAGATGTTCAGTTTGTCAATTTATTGGCAGTGGAAGTCCCACTAAATTGTTTATTACCGAACCTATGTCATACACGAAGCAAATACTGTATATTCATCCAAACTATAGTGAGGGGTGACATAAACTAAACTTGCATAAACCATCTGTTCATTATAACCTGTGATGCACCCGAGTCACTTTACGGAGAGAAATAAATGAATAAAAGGAGGTAGGGTTAAAGAACTGTGACATTAAAGCAGGGTTAGGTATCAGTTACCAACCAATTCAAATATTACAGTGAATAAATACAGCAAAAGCCTTTAAAGCTGCTCTCAGTACAGTACTACAGTCAATATTTTCCTTCTGCATACAACATAGGATATACACTTTACCTGTCATTGAAGTTGGGTGCCTTTGACAACTGGGACTAGACCTGTGTGCCAATACATTCACCTTACCTGTGGAGGCATCATGCAGTGGTCACTATATAAGGCAGAGAGAGAGAGAGAGAGAGAGAGAGAGAGAGAGAGAGAGAGAGAGAGAGAGAGAGAGAGAGAGAGAGAGAGAGAGAGAGAGAGAGAGAGAGAGAGAGAGAGAGAGAGAGAGAGAGAGAGAGAGAGAGAGAGAGAGAGAGAGAGAGAGAGAGAGAGAGAGAGAGAGAGAGAGAGAGAGAGAGAGAGAGAGAGAGAGAGAGAGAGAGAGAGAGAGAGAGAGAGAGAGAGGAGAGAGAGAGAGAGAGAGAGAGAGAGAGAGAGAGAGAGAGAGAGAGAGAGAGAGAGAGAGAGAGAGAGAGAGAGAGAGAGAGAGAGAGAGAGAGAGAGAGAGAGAGAGAGAGAGAGAGAGAGAGAGAGAGAGAGAGAGAGAGAGAGAGAGAGAGAGAGAGAGAGAGAGAGAGAGAGAGAGAGAGAGAGAGAGAGAGAGAGAGAGAGAGAGAGAGAGAGAGAGAGAGAGAGAGAGAGAGAGAGAGAGAGAGAGAGAGAGAGAGAGAGAGAGAGAGAGAGAGAGAGAGAGAGAGAGAGAGAGAGAGAGAGAGAGAGAGAGAGAGAGAGAGAGAGAGAGAGAGAGAGAGAGAGAGAGAGAGAGAGAGAGAGAGAGAGAGAGAGAGAGAGAGAGAGAGAGAGAGAGAGAGAGAGAGAGAGAGAGAGAGAGAGAGAGAGAGAGAGAGAGAGAGAGAGAGAGAGAGAGAGAGAGAGAGAGAGAGAGAGAGAGAGAGAGAGAGAGAGAGAGAGAGAGAGAGAGAGAGAGAGAGAGAGAGAGAGAGAGATTTTTTTTTTCTTATTTTAAAGGATGAAATGTTATGAAATATTTTATTTTGGTTTTATTTACTGTGTTTATTTTTGTTCAAGTGAGAATCACAAGGAGTCTGTACTGTACTTGAGTATTTCTGCCTTTGTTACATACTGTACTCTAATATGTTTTGATAAAGCTACGAGGAGAAATCAATCTTTTCTGAAGCAATGCCCTAGTCTTAAACTTTCTTAGATGTCACAGTTCATTATCATATAGTATCCAGTGTTTTTGTCTGTAGTTTTAAATAACTTGTATTAAAAGAGAGTAAGACTGGGGTTTGCTGCCTATGATATTAAGGTTCATCTTGTTTTTGTGTATTTTGAGAGAATTTCACAATGAAATATTGCCTAACAGATGCCTTATATATACAGTATATTGTAGAGTAATAGTAATTGTGGTCCAATGGCATGCACTTTTATTAATGTTAAATACAGTACTGTACAGTAGTACATCTAATTTGTCCCTGTGGCACTAGCTACATGCTGTTTATGGTGTCATACACTGCAATAACAGGTGAAATTCTCTTTACAAATTTAAATGTATTTGTAGCTGGTGCAGGGAATAAGTCTTTGGCATTGTGCAGATGGACTCCCAGGTCATTGTAACGAGTGGTAATTGTTTTATCTACGGGACTGGGCGCAGCTTTCATTGCAACTTAGCGATATAAGACAGATAGGTAGGACTTGTTGGGGTAATTGGTTTTATTCTCTATTTTCTGAGGAGTTGAGGTGGTCATTGTGTTCGCTACCATCAGTCTTTGACGAAATATGGATCTTTATCAAGACAGGCAAAGCCTGAAACTGGATCAGCT